GTTCCAGAATGTGGCTGTAAGGCTGGCTCCCTGCAAATAGTTTCACTGCATTTCTTGTTAGAGAATGGAGAAAGATGAGACAGAGAATCTTGTCTTCCTGTTTTCTTTCTGTCCGTTAAAAAATATGGTTTATCACCTCTTTGGACTTTTAGATGACTAATGAGTCAGGTCAATCATTTTTAAGTTTTTATTTGTCATAAAATAAATGGTTCAAGCCACTGTGAATTTATAGTTGTACACTTCAATTCAAAACTGATTCAAAGCTGTTTAGTAGTTTTTACGCACAATTTTATGTTTCTTATTGTATCCTTCAAAATTGTGATAGTCATTCATAACTTCTAGAAAAATAAAGAAGTGAGAAAAGTTTCTGGTGATTATCTATTTTGTGAAATGACCCAGATGTTTTTGAATATTTAAATTTATTACAACAGTTAAGTCTGATTTTCAAATACAGGAATGTAAAAAACTATTTAAGAAATTAGTTGGAATAACAGGACAAAAGGAATGATCTGAAACATTCTACAAGTAGGTGGCTGAGAGGAGTTAATAATTTATAGTTGACAGAGAAGAACTAGGCAATTCCAAATATTTTGGTCCCTTGAGTCCCATTAAATCAGGAAGACTATGTTTTAAAAAGAGGCTTCATCTGCCCAGGTTCCTGAAGCCCTAACCGACTCATGTCCTTAGCAGTGGGAGTCAGCGTGCATTGTAGACATCTGCTCTTGTGTGTACTTCCTAACTTTAGCTTTCTTGAACTCTTGCCACTTCCTCTATTAAACTGTTTCCCTTACTTATCAAGACCATTTTGTATTAGAAGTCTTCACCATAGATCTTGTGTTAACTTTTTATATTACTTTATCTAAAATACCTGAGAGGGAAAATTTAAGAGAGGTTTAGTTTTGAAGTAAGAGACCTGACTTAAGCGACTCCATATTGAGTAGGGCTCCATCTTCGGTAAAGTACCCCTCACCCGGGAGACTGTACCCTGGCTGAGAAAACCAGGTTCTGTTTGGCAAGAACACTCAGATCCCTGGTGAGGCTGTTCAAGCATAACTAAGGAGAAATGAGATTCACCTGGCTCAGCAACAAAAGCTTGCCAAGTTAGTAATTTTTCTTTGCTATGGAAGTTTAGCATTAGCTCAGTCTGGCTGAACCCCTCACAGTTGTAGCTTTTACCCTTATAAACCCTGCTGTTCTGTAGTTCAGGTTGAAAGATATTTGGTGACATGAGCCTACTCTGGACCACTAGCAAATAAAGGACTTTTCAAATCTCACAGTGTTCAGCACTCCTCCGTATTGGCTCAGTTGGGTATGACATTTAGACTTACATTAGGCTATGATCTGGTGGAGGTGGCCAGTGGGGGCGTGTATGGACAGACATACATGAGGCAAGGCAGGGAACACACTCAACTTTCTGCCCTCCTTGTGATTTGTCCTTATAAAGCCATCACGATTTGATCACGGACTCCACCCTAAAACTGTTACCCTAATCCAGTCATTACCAAAGGCTGCACTTTTTTTTAAAGTATTCATTTTTTTATTTGGAAAGAAGGGTGAGATAGAAAAAGAGATTTTCCATCTCTTGGTTCTTTCCCCAAAAGGTTCGTAATAACTGGGGCATGCTGAAGCTAAGAGCCTGGCGCTTCGTCTGTGTCTCCCACTTGGGTAGTAGGGGCGATAAGTGCTTGGGACATCTGCTTTCCCAGGAATGTCACCAAGGCAGCTGAATTGGAAGTGTTAATTGCCAGGACTCAAACTAGCATTCATATGGGATGCTGGTGTGGCTGGCAGGTGGCAACTTAAGCTGCTCCATCACAAAGGAGACTCCTATCTCCTACCTCTTATTCCATAATTGAATCAAGCCTCCATGCTAATCCACCAAATATTATCATGAATTCATTAGTCATTAATACAGGTATAAATATTTGCTTGAGTTTGGGGAGCCAAATCCTGTCCAAGCTGTAACACAACCTATGTGAAATTTAAAATTACTGTTACTGTTTTCTGTTATCTGACTCTGTCAGACTTTTTAGATCTTGATTAAAAGAAGAAAGTTTAGATATGCAAGGTAAGCACAGGATAATACAGCAAATGGGAATGAAGACACCATAAAAGAAATAGGGAAAACCACAGAATGGTCAATTAACAGTTTTAGGGAAGATAAAAATTATGGGTATAAGCATTGTAAAAATCTTTTGAATATTGTTTGTTTTAGCTTTTGGTATGTAATTTCAGTTTTTAACTCATGGTAAAAGTTTTAGTTAAATTCCAATTTGTAATGTTAGCTCTGATATTTGTTATTGTTGTTTTAGGAAAGAAGATATGAACTCAGTGCAATTTTGACTCTTAATTGATGAGAGCTGAAACAAAGCACTTTCGTTTCTTAGTCCTTAAGAAGATTTTATTAAATTTGACTAATAGATTTGCTTCATTTTAGCTAACATTTTCTTCATTTTTGGGTTTTGACACATATCTTTTTTTTTTATATTTATGTTATTTTTATTGGGAAGGCGGATATGCAGAGAGAGGGAGAGACAGAGAGGAAGATCTTCCATCCGATGATTCACTCCCCAAGTGGATGCAACAGCCGGAGCTGAGCCAATCTGAAGTCGGGAACCCAGAGCCTCTTCTGGATCTCCCACATGGGTGCAGAATCCCAAGGTTTTGGGCCGTCCTCAACTGCTTTCCCAGGCCACAAGCACCGGAGCCGGATGGGAAGCGGGGCTGATGGGATTAGACCCGGTGCCCATATGGGATCCTGGTGTGTGCAAGGCGAGGACTTGAACCACTATGCTATTGCACCGGGCCCGACACACATCTTTATAACAGACCAGTGGCAGGAACATAATTAGGATTGAGGAAGTTGATTCTGAGGGGTATAATGTGTGACATGCCTTACTCAAGTACACTTATATTAAAGTCCAGTCTTTGGTCTCAGAAACATTTTTGTGGGCATCCGTGATTCTTGTTCACAGGAGCAGTCCTACAGGTGGCCCCTCCTCGGAAGCTCTGCTGGACCTGGGATAGGGAATCTTTTCGTTATTGACACAGTCCCATAGACCTGTGTGATCTCTAAATGTTTCTGAGTTTGCGTACTTCCCATTCTGCTGTCAGAAACTGATGTCCCTTTATCAGAAGGCCTCGGTTTTACTCATAGGTTTGCTTCTAATTAGTTTATAACCTTCACTGGACCTCATTCATTCTCATTGATACAGCAAGCACTAAATAGCCCTTTTCTCAGGGGTCTTCAGTCCATCAGGCCCTGAGATCACCAAAGGGTGAGCGACAGTGCTCTTCTGCAGCGGAAACACTGAGACAAACCAGTGGTGAAGAATGTTCATTTATTTGAGAGACATCACAAGCTTATATAGGAGAAGAGGGCAGGCAGAAGGGTGGTCCTGACAGTACGTTCAGCCAACAACAGCATTTGACTGGCTAACAGATATGTCTAACTTTCTGGACCCTCCAGTGAAATTAAAGGTCAGGAAGCACAAGAAATTGTATCTCAGGGCAGACTCATTACCTGCTGAAAAGCAGGATGAATGTAACATTTGACTTCCTAGAGTTGTTTACAGAGGAAGTCCTAGCAGAGTAGGGAAGAGAGACTGGGGTGCAGTCCATGGCTCTTGTTGCATGCCCAGTGGACAGGCCATGTTGCATTCTGTCAGCCAAGGGCACAGTGTGCCGTGTTCCTATGGCCTCCTATGTGGGCTAGGCAACCAGAGATCCAGGGGCCATCTCCTATACCCTTAGGGTTTTTTGTTTGTTTTTGGTAAATAAGTATAACAGAATACATAATCATACTTTTAAAAATTCCTACCCATTTGTATACAGTTTTATAGAGGGTAATATGTTTTCTAATTTGTTCTTAGTGAAATACCAACCGATATGTCTCTTCCTCTCCTAATTTGTCTCAATTCCTTTGGTTGTGTAAACTAAATCTCTTTAATCTTTCTCTATGATGTCTTTCTTAAAATAGGACTTGCAAGAATAGCACTAAAGGTGTATGCAGATGTGCTATGATCTTATATAAATGTAAGATCATATTTTCTGTTTTATTTTGGCTCTCTTCTAGTGCAAATATATCTAGGACTTTTTAGCTATAATATTCCAAAATGTCTTTGAAGCCAACCCTTTGTGTCTGGAATACACTGGTCCTAAATTCTTTACTATTCAGTATCTTCTGGGACAGAGATTTCACAACCTGTTTCTCACCTTGAGGAAGTTCTTATAACCAACATAAATCTTGCTTTCTGCAATTTAAGTTGAATTTAAATATTTTTTCTCCTCTCCGTAGAGAAGGGAATAGCCTCAGCTGGAAGTGATGCTTCCTTTGGCGGGCCAGTACTGAGTGTAGTGGAAAGATAACTTGTCCAGCATCATCTTTAGCTTTTATCTTCCAAAGCTTCCTCGCTTCCGTTTCAATGTTCATGTCTCAGGAGATACTGCGTTTTAAAGACCAAACAAAATAACATTATATGTCTAATAATAATATTTACTATATTTTTTATTTATAATTGAGATACCAAAATTTAAAAAAATGACTTCTCGAGCTGTAGTACAGGGCATTAACAAGTCAGTGCTTTCTCAGAGGTCACCGTGGTACTGAGGTTTGCCTGTAGTCTGTAGATGCTATTGTCACGAATTTATTAGTCATATTGTATAAACGACTTATTTGTCCATGTTTTCCTTTTAAATTGTATGAATCGGAACTAAATCTTTAAAACAATTTTCAATGTGCTTAGACAAGTAGCTTGATTCCTAAATTATGCACTTGAGATGTGTGTGAAGAGGAAGACAGGCTGTCTGCCCTTGAGTCTGTCTGAGGGAAGAGATTAAACAATTATAAGACATTTATAAAATAATACAAATTAGTTCATATAAAATAAGCTATCTAATGTGCACGTTAGAGTGTTTATCGCGTGTCGGTCTGATGTATTGATAAGACACTCCACAATGTCCAGTTGTTTCATTCTGCTTTTTTTTCTTTTTACTTTCAGGTTCAGCAGTTTTCTGAAAAATCTTTGCTCTTGCAGCTTTTAAAAGCTCATGAAAATGCTTTAGAACGGCAGTGCAGTGAAATTACAGACCAAAGAAATATGCTTCTTCAAACCTTTGTAAGTTTCCAGCCACTTAGACAAATCTGTTTAATATCTGTGTCAAAAGTATTTAAATGTACTTTGGTGTACCTTCACAAAATCATCCTCAAGAGTATTGGCAAATATTGCTGTTCAGTGTCTACAGAAAAGCATTGAATGATATTTAAAATCAGTTGATATAGTTTGAAGGAATTCGATTGGCAGGAGGAGAGGTGGGAATTATTTGCAATTTAATGAGCATTAAAAAACTGCAAAGCTGATTTTGAACATTTCCAGCTCTAAGAGTTTGGTTTGAGACAGAACGATTCACGCTTCAGGCTTGTGCTTGGGTGCCAGTGAGAGGCTGGCTTTGTTATCCTTTATCTTACCTTGGAGCAGGATGACAAGGCAGGTTTAGAGATGTGAAGTGATTAATTGACATTTTAAAGAAAACACATTTGGCAGTTCTTATTTCCATGCTTTACTGATATATAATAAAATATAAACAGTTGTTTAGAACTGATTTCCAGATGAATCTGTAAATTCACCTCTCTTCTCCACATTTTAAAAGGTTTCCTCAGGAGTGAGGACCTTTGGAATAGTGGTTAAAATGGTACATAAGACGTCCACACCCTAGGGCCTGGGCTGGGCCAGCTGTGTTGCTGCTTCCGGCTTGTGGCTTCTGCCCGCCCTCTACCTGGATGCTGCAGGTGTTGGGGAATAAATCAGGGAGTGAGACATCTCTGTTTTTGCCTCTCTTTTTAAGTCTCTCACTCTCTGAGTCTCCTTTCAAACTAAAATAAATAAAAAACATTTTTCCTCTTTAGATCCTGCTTGTGTTTTTTTCTGTAAAGCATTAATTCTCTTGAGTATTTAAATTTTCAAGTTTGATCATGAAATTATTTTACCACCCAATTTTATATTATAATAATAAAATGGCATATGTGAGTGATATGATTTTATCTCAGTAAAATCACTAAGAACTTTAAGCCTAACTTTTTGATTATCATGCTTCAGGCTTATTAAAAAATAGAACAATAGTGCTAGAAAATCTAAATACATTTTTTATTTTAATAATTGTAAATGATATTTTAAGTAATTATCGTACCCACTACCTATGTTTGATCTTTTATTTCTGTTTTTTCAGGAAACTACAAAAAAGAAAGCAACGCATGAAGAGGAAAAGTTCCTTAAGGAAATCACAGATTTTAACAATGAATATGACATTACCAGGAAAAGAGAGTTTCTGATGAAAGAGAATGTCAGAATTGAAATATCTGTCTTGGAAAACCAGGCAGACACTTTGAAAAGGGGTATGAATCACATAACACTGCCTCGATTGTCTGGTATTAATCGAAATAATTGACTTTGGATAAATGAATTTTCCAAGAATTTAACTTTTTCATAAGCAAATTCAGTCATTGTATAGCTATTTTTAAACTTTTATCCTGATTTTCCTTTAGGATATGTGTCTTTTATGGTAAGCACTCTTAAATTCTTTAGAAGTGCACAGAACATGAGCATTTGGTCATTCTTTCAAGGGGCAGAAAACTGCTGCTTTGAGCTAGGCACTGTGCTAGGTCCTTGGGATGTAGCACTGCGGTGGAAGAAGCAAGTATATAAGCAGATATGTACAGGCCAGTGTGATGCAGTCTGGGATAGGGTTTGGGCTCTTCCTGTGTTCCTTGTTCTATCATCAGTCCAGTACGATCTGAAATAAGGTTACACAAGTGTGTGGGGAGGATCACGGGGTGGGAATTTCATCTCAGAAATACTGCTGTATGTAGATGTAATCTGTCACAAGATGCCAAATTAAAGCAGTTACCAAAAAAGAGGTGTTCAGGAAGAATAACAGTACTTTATCACTGGTGGATGTATACAGAAATAGGGAAAAATCAAAGATAAATCACATCTTCTGTTAGACATTAAGATTCTGTTGTATAATTAGCTCATTGTACTCATTTAAATCAGGTTCAGTTGCAGATGAGCTTTCTTGACTATAATTCCTTGTATAGCTTCTTGAATATATTTCCTTTTGGCTTTAAGACCTCACAATGAAGGAAAGTAGTTATTTTTCTTGTAGCAGTGTACTCTGTTGAGATAGGCATATCTTAGAGAGAAATTAGGAGAAACATGTGAGTCATTGATGTCTAGCAACTGTGGAATCCAACCCAGCAAAAATTGGAAATGCCTTAGTTAGTACTGGTCCTCCTCCTGGATGGGAAGAATTTTGCAAGGCTCTTGGCCACACCTTGTTGCTTTGGCTTCTATTTCTTGATCATTCCTTTTTAAAATGAAGGTATGTGCTTGCAGCTGCTCATTTCCTCAGCCTGCTTTGCTCTTGTAGAAGAGTCTTCAAGTGCCCCTTTTTCATGTTTGACTGCTCCTTTCAGTCCAAGCTTTGGGTGGTGTTTATGCAAATACAGTTCTGTTAAGACTTGCGGGCATCATGTGCATCTTAATGAGGTTCATAATGTCAAGACAAAACCCACAAGGCTTTCTGAGATATGAGGGATCTTCAGAAAGTTCTGTTAAATGTATATTATATAAAACTTTTGCAAGGATTTCAATATTATTCACACCAAAGAAAATCTTTTAATTCCATTTTCCAGACTTTTTGAAATCTCTTACAATATTATTTCTTCCTCTTATTTTTTTTTTCAAATTTGTTAATTTTATATCTAATTTGGAAAGGCTCTTTTTTTTTAAACAAAGTGGAGGAAGGATAGGAAAATCTTCCCATCTGCTGGTTTACTCCCCAAATAACCACTGTGGCTGGAGCTGAGCTGGTCTGAAGCCAGAAATCAGGAGCTTCCTCAGGGTCCTTCACATGGGACAGGGTCTCAAGGCTGTTTACCATTCTCCATGCCCTTACAGGGGGCATGGACTTGAAATGGAGCAGCCAGGTTAGGAATCAGTGCCCACATGGAATGCCAGTGCTTACAGCAGGAGGACCTTGGATAAAATTGAAATATTGGCTCTTTCAGAATCTAGGCCTGCTGGCTTTGGGACCAATGGAACTTACTCCTTCAGCTCCGGATTCTCAGGCCTTCCACACTGAAGGTAGAGCTGCACTGTCGGCAGTCCTTGAGCTCTGGGTTCTCAGCCAAAGATCTTGGGACTGACCAGTCTCCCTCTGGTTTGAGCCCATTCCTTATAATAAACATGTGTGTGTCTGTGTACGCAGATGCGCTCTGTTAATTTTGCGTCCTTGGAGAAGCCTGAGTTTAATGAGGACACAACACATCTCATTTTATGAGGCCAGAATTACCTTAATCTCAAGCCAGGCAGACATTTTGAGAAAACTCCAGACATACATCCTTTATAAATATAGAGAAGCCCTAACAATGAGTTAGCAAATAAAAAGCCATCAAAGTTCTAAAATGATGATATATAATGGCCACCAAGTAGATGTCAATCAAGGTATATGTTTAAAAATTTGTTTCACATTTAAAAACAGCCAGTAGAATATTTCATAGTAACAAAATGAATCAATTATTTAAAAAAAATAAATGTAGGAAAATTATTTGACAAAATTCAAGATTCATGCACAATGAAAACTCCGAGGGGTGAACATTTGGCATGGAAGTTAGGCTGCCCCTCGAGATGCCCAGATCCCATATTGGAGTGCCTGGTTCAAGTCCTTCTCTGCACACCCCAGGAGGCAGCAGGAGTTGGGAAGAAACGATTGTGAAGGCCTGAGTCCTGGCTCCTGGCTTCCGCCTCGCCTAGCCGAGTGCTGGCTCTTGGGGCATTTAGAGGTGAGCCAACACATGGAAGGTCTGTCTCTGTCAGTGTGTGCATCTGTTGTCTCTGCCTTTCAGGTAACACAAAAAAGAACAAAAAAATCCCTCTCAAAAAACTGGAAATAGAAAGCAACTTCCTTAGAATTCTGATAATGAACCTATGTGAAAAACCTTGTATTTGCTGTTGAAATATTGAGTATTATTTCGTAGGTGATCAAAGGAAGCCATTGGGGCTTAAAATTGATTATGTGCTGCATAAATCTTCACTAACGACAAAGTGGTAATGATTGTTGATGTAATTAAGACAAAGAGAAAATATTTACCATACTGTCTTATTTCAAGATTTTTAGGATTTCTCCCCCACATTGCTGTAAAGAATGCTATGATAGTTTTGATGGGCATTGAGATGAATCTGTACATTGCTTTGTATATTGTAGGCATTTTACCACTGTTAGTTCTGCCAGTCCATGAACAGGGGGTATCTTTCCGTTTGTTTGTATCTTCTTTGATTTCATCAGTGTCTTAAAGCCTTTAGTGTCCAGATGTTTCACTTCCTTGGTTAAATTTCTTCAGATTTCTTTATGCTTTCAATTTTGTTTCTAGAAATGAAATCAATGGAACATGACAGTGACCAGTTAAATGAACTTCAGAAACAAAAGAGTGAATTGATTGAAGAATTATTTATGCTTCAGAGAAAACTTAAAGGTATCATTTTCATGAATCAGTTTAATAATTTAGGGATCAAATTATATACCCATGATAGCATCATATTTTTCCAAAATATATTAGCTCAGTGGAATTTAGTGCAACTATTGCTATTACACAGGAGTAGAAAAAGCACTCAGCTGTCTGTTAGAGCAGAAATTTATTTAAGAGCTGGCATTTTTTAAGTCAAAAATTTTAGACATGTTTAGAATGCTTGGTGTCTTTAATTGCTATATAAAATAGAAAATAATAATTATTGTTATATACATTTTACATGTAAGCACCAACATTTATGGTATTGTTCTTCAGTAAAGAAAGCTAATATCTATATTTAATTTTCTAAGAATTTTCTTAATTGGTTAGCTTTTGAAGATGAAGAGAATGAAGCCATTCACACTACTAAATACCTAGAGGAAGAAAAGATAAAAATCAATGAAAAGCCTCAAAATGATGCTGAATGTCTAAGGTGAGTTACTTATTTTATGTTGGTATAAAATTGGGTAATTTTTCAACTTAAATAGGTTTGAAAATAAAGATAAATGCATAGATATGTATTTTTTTAAAAACATTCAAATGAAGACATGATTTCTTTAATCTGAAACATGCAAGCACTGCCTGGCCAGAAACTGAAGATTATATTGCATTTCTCATGCCAGTAGATAATGCAACTTTTTTTTGTTTTATTCCTAATTTTGGGGTGACAGAGGGATGAGTTATACTCCTGTGGAACTGTGGTCTTCCGACTTTACTTGTTGAAATTATAGGTAGTGGTGAATTAAGCCTGTGGTTATAGAGTGAATTAAAATTCTGTCTTTGCAGAAGCTAAAGGAAAATGAAGGAGGAAAATTGAGACAAGGAAATATGGTTATCTTCTTAGAACTGTGCTTATTAAATATATGAAATCTGTTTTCTTTATATTAATGAAAATTTTAAGACAAGAAACTATTTTTAATGCTTTTAGATTCTCAGGGAAAAAATCACAGTCTAATCTTGTATTCAAATTCATTATTGTGGTTTTATTACTAAATAATGGAAATGTATTTTCAATATGGAATGTTCAGCTGCTTTATATACATTTCAATAATGAGATAATGGCTGATTTCTAAAATTACATACTCATAAATATAAGAAGAGAATACTGCAGGTTTTTTAAAAATTTGGGTGTTGTTTATCAGTAATTTAGTATTCATTGCTTTATTTTAAAGAAATTCCTGCCTATACTTCCTAGGCATAATTTGAATACAAGAAAAGAAATGTCATTATTGAATCTGAAGAAGCAAGTGAAGCTTTCTTTCATATAAGTCATATGGAAAATATGTGTACCAGAGCTGAACAAATGCTGCAAATTAGCAATGTATTGCCTTAGTCCAACACTTTAGTAGATTGTGAGAAAATTTTCTTAAGTTTAATTTTATGTTAAATTTCATAAGCATAAAATATCAGTCACTTGGATGCTCTATGGAGAATGAGTTTCAGTAATGATAATCTGTTCATTGATTGGTTTAAATTTTTGAAAATGATAGTGCCTTTTGGTATCATTATTGCTATACCATAAGGACTTCCAGTGTGAACTCCAGTTTGGTGAGTTTATTATGAAATTTTCCCTTAGTTGGGTTAAAGACACAAAGTTTATGGATATGCTTTTTTCCGTCACCAATGGTGACACAGGAGATTTACATGGAAAACACCATTGGTTGTATACTTAGTCCATTCATTGTATTGTAGCAGTTAAATGAAATGGAATGTCAATATTTATCCATTTCCACTTTTTCTTATGTGTATTTCCTCTATTCTAATATTTCATAAAGGCTTTTCCTAAGTGTGCACAACAAAATTATTGAGTGTGAAGATTTTACAATAGAGCACCGTCAATCTTATCATTAGTATAACAACAGGAAGCTCAGGATGGCAAGAACTTCATCGTGAAGACCAAAATTAAGCTGATTTTGTTTTGAAAATTTGGAATATCATGGTCTTCTTGTAATCTGTTGTTAAATTTATATTCCTTAATAGTTGTATTGTTTTTAATTTTTCAAGTTTAATGTGTCTACAATGAATATTATTTTTTATGGCAGAATTCTTCAGATTTGGCACTGTTAACATTTGAAGTCAGGTTATTTGATGTGAGGAGTTGCCCTATGATTGTATGATATTTAGTAGCATCCTTAGCCTCTGACCACCTGATGACAGTTGGACTCCCCACCCTCAAGTTTTGACAACCAGTGTCTCTAGGAGTTGCCACATGTGCTCAGGGACAGAAGTGGGATGTGGCAAAAGTTCCTCTAGGAAAAAATCAGTTTCATTTCTGATGATGTTGTAATTCTACTCATATTAACGTGAGAATCTTAAGATTAGTTCATTTCTTTGAGCTTATTTTTTTGTATTAGTCCCCGCTTACCTGTGATTATGCTTTCTGAAGTTTGTTTCTTATGAAAACTGCAATTCAAATATGTTAATGTTTTTCTTTACTCTTTCAAGAGAGTGAGACCATATTCATATAACTTTTCTAGAGTACATTGTTTTAATTGTTCTATTTTTAAGTTAATTGTTGGTAGTATCTGAGTATGCCTATTTATGCATTAGATGGGTATGTATAGGAAAAAACAGTATAATATTCCCCACTTACCCACGGGGAATATGTTTGGAGACCACAATATCTGAATAAAGGGGATAGCACTGAACTTGTCACACTTTGCAGCCTCAGCCGAAGCGCAGCTCCTCTTTACAGACCAGCACTCATGTCATTTTGTTTTCTGGATGTTGCTCATATCAAGTATAGCAGGTTTTTTTGACATGTCACAAATCTCATTCTGACTTTACCCACAGATCATTATTTTGATTTACTGCTTTTATCTCTGAAATATTTATTGTATTTTTCCGCTTTTTTATGTCATTGCTTCTATCAGGTTCCGTCTAAAAGCTCCCCCACCCTGCTTTTTAAGATTTATTTATTTATTTATTTTTACTGAAAGTCAGACATACAGAGAGGAGATACAGGGGGAAGGATCTTCTGTCTGCTGGTTCGCTCCCAAAGTGACCATAATGGCCACAGGTGAGCTGATCTGGAGCCAGGAGTCAGAAGCTTCTCCCAGGTCTCCCATGAGGGTGCGGTGTCCCATGGCTTTGGACCATCTTCCACTGCTTTCTGAGGCCACAAACAGGGAGCAGGTTGCGAAGTGGAGCAGCTGGGGTTAGAACCAGTGCCCATATGGGATCCTGGCGCATACAAGGCAAGGACTTTAGCCACTAGGCCACCATGCTGGGCCCACTAAGAGCCCTTTCCCCTGGTTCTCCATAGCAATCCTTTCTTCTCCTCCATCACCCTTGTAGCTTCCAATCCATTGTAAATTGAATTATATTATTCTTACTAAAGTTATTGCTTTGACAAACATGAAAAAGCACAAATTCTCAGCGTGGCCGACATGAATGTTAGTGGTATGGCCTTCGACCACCTCCGTGATGTCACCATCCATGATGCGCTTGTTCTACTGCTCTTTCAATAAGGAAACTTTCTTTCACCTATCTTTGTACATTCCTTCCATTGTTCTTAATTATCTGTTTATCTATCTCCTACCTGCTTGGACAGGTTCCATCCAGAAGTCTTGGTTGAAATGTTTCCTCAGGGAAGCCCCCACTTCTCCGTGATTTAAATTATGTGATATTATTTTCTCCAATAATACCCTGTATTTTTCCCTTTGTTGTACATGCTCCACTGTATAACTGCAGTACTTACATGTCTAGTTTGTTAATGCCTATCTCTTCTATCTCTATAAAGCGCTCAGTAGGAAGGATATAGTCTGTTTTGTTCACCAAATATACTCTGATAAGACTAGAATATATGGTAGATGTTGAATAAGTGTAAGTGTAAATGAGTGTTACAAATTACCAGTAGTTTCCTGTCTTGATTTGTTTTCTGCGCTCACAGGAACTGGTTACCTGTTCTGTGACAGTTATCTTACTGGGCTAACTCACTAACCTGGGATCTCCCTTCACTTCTTGTTTACTTTTCAATCTCTAAGTTTTTTTTTTTTCAGAAGTGTTTTATATGTTGAACTCCTTCAAACACTCCAAACCTATTGTTTTTAATTTTCATCCCGTGTTACAGTTACCAAAATATAGTTCTTGATCGTGATTTTTCATCTCAAATACTAAAACATGGTTTTAAAGCATATATACTCCAGTTGTTGAGTCTACCTATATTAAATGTTTATGACAAAAATTATAAAAATCCTTCATGTATTTCCAAAGATGTAATACATTCAGACCAATATGATGGCTTCATTTCAGAATGGAATTCTTCTTACTCCTGATATTTTTTCTTCAGTTTAGAAACAGATATTCTCGGTTTAACCCCTCTGACATACCCCAGCCTTCCTTGCTTATCCTAACGTGTAGATGAATGACTTAACCTGGGAGTTTGGGAGCCAGCTCCTGCCTTTTCCTGTCTTTTGGAAATCTGCTTGCCTCTGGGCATGCTTCACCATCCCTAAAGTGTTACAGTGGCAGGACTCCATGAGGGAAGCATGTGGGGCTCAGTGCTGTCTTTCATGATGTCAGTTAAACTAGTCTGGGGTTCAAGTTTAGGAAATCCTTGCCCTCAGATGTAATCTACAGTTTCCAGTGACTTGCTGTATCAGTAACAGATATTGAGTTTATACTTCCCTTATCTTTAAAAAAAGATTTGTTTATTTGAAAGGCAGAGTGACAGAATAAAAGAGAGGAAGATACTGAGATAAATAGAGATCAATCCTCTTTTACTACCGTAAGGCCACAGCATCCAGGACTGGGGGAGGCTGAAGCTAGGATCCAGGAATTTCATTTAGGTTTCCCTTGTGGGTGCAGAGGCTGGAGTAGTTGGACCATCCTTCGCTTTTTGTGGCAAACCATTAGGGAGCCAAATTGGAAGTGCAACAGCCAGCAGGACTCAAGCTGGTGTCCACATGGGATGCCGGCATTATAGGCAGTGGCTTAACCCATGGTGCACAACATTGGCCCAATCTCCGCTATGCTTTGAAGTGGTAATATTTTAGAAAGAAAAGTTAGACTCCTTCAAACACTCTTAAGACTATTTTGTATTTTTACTGAATACCTAAAATACAGTTCTTGATGATAATTTTTAATTTATTTCAAACAATAACATGGAATTTTAATAAACACTTCAGCTGTTTTCTTTTGTAACCGACAAAGCTCCTTAGAAAGGTTTTACATCTTATAGGTAATATTTGTGCTTGTTTAATACAGCAGGAAGCTTGTTCCAGAAAAAAAAGCTGAAAAGTCAATAGCATCAGATTTTCATTCTGAACATTTAAAGATTGCGTGATTTTTTTTAAAAAGTCTGGTTATAATGGAGTTTCATAGAAGTTGATCTATACCTGCTACTCAGAGCCTCTTCTGTGTATCAATGGGACACTGCAGGACAGCGCTTTTGCCTTTTCAGTGAAGAAAAATAATTAAATTGATTTTAGG